ATAATATGTGTAATATGAGGTGGTGCGTGAAAATTCTTGATTACAAATAGTGGTCCACACACACAAAAAGTTTGAAAACCCCTGATCTCTCTGACACTTTTAACCATGGCAACCTTTTGCGTCAGTTAGTTGATGCGGGTCCTGGGGCGTCATCTATCTGACACTTTTAACCATGCATCTAAATCTGACGCACATGGCAACCTTTAGCATCAGTTAGATGACGATCATCCTAGGGCATCATCTATCTGACACTTTTGATCATGAGTCTAAATCCGACGCACATTGCAACCTTTAGCGTCAATTAGATGACGCGGGTAGGTTTAGTTCTGGGGTAGGGTTAGGGTTAGACCACAAAGGGTGCCATATGCGTCAGATGTTGACGCATGGTCAAAAGCGTCAGTTAGAGGATGCTTTGGGATGAAAACAGGCTGTAAAATGTTACATTGTTTTGATTCAAATGCAATATGTGGCAAGCTGGCTTTCGTCTTCGCTAGTTCTTTGATGTCAGTTTGGTGTGTCACGGCCCTTAACCCTTATGCTGCATTAGGGACATTTTTGGTCTTTTGCAGTTTAATTTCTTTGACCATTTTGGCTGTTTTAATGCAAATGGTATGAAATTTGGCAAAATTGTGACTTTTTGGATACATGTAAAAAATGTGATCCCATTTTTCAAAATATGTATAACACACACTGTGTAGATCAAATAGTAACACTCAGCACCATAAAGACCAAAAATGGCCCATTGAAACCCATTAAAACGTTGTTTAAATCTGAGGCTGTCAGTAATACATGAAACATGATTTTTGCACAAACATCCTTTCATTTTGAAGCAAAAGCATTATATTTGCATTATATAGTGTATTCCACCAGATGACGTCACTACATATTTATTCCCTATGGGTGGAAATGCACCTTATTTTAGGCAATAGGCAATGTTTAATAGGTGGCCATTTTTGGTCTCTAACGCGCTAAGTGGGATTTTTTGCAAAGTGGGACTGTGATAATCCAAATCTAAAGTTTTCTCTTTGCATTTAGTTTATTGAAAATAATAGAATTTTTGTGTTTTTTCCTCTTATACAAATCGATGGTTTCGCAAACAAAACTGGTAATTAAAGGGTTAAAATCCTGAAATTGAATACATTTTTGGTAGTTATGATGAGGACTGATGCTGGTTAAAAGATTTAACTTGGTAAAAGTGGAAAATAATAATATTATATAATATTTTAGGCAATGTTTAATATGTGGCCATTTTTGGTCCTTAATGCACTCAACGGTGTTAAAAATCTAATCCAGCACAAGGGTTAAAGTTCATAGCACAGAATGCTGTTCAGAAGAACTCTAGTATGTCAGCCAATGACTCTTGGAAATATTTGGAACAGGCAAGCATCTCTGTTGATGTGGTTTTGGCCTGACCTCTCATGAGCGGTTTACACCAGACATACCAAGAAAAAATGCTGAACTAAAAAAAAGCTTTGTACAGATAAATGGTCTTGACCATTGTGCAGGTCTGATTCGCAATTACAAGAAACGCTTGGTAGAGGTTACACTGCCAAAGGAGGGTCAACCAGTTATTACATCCAAGAGTACAGGGACTTTTTTCCACCAGTGATGTAAATGTTTGAGAATGGTCTTTTGTTAAAGTTTGATTTAATTATTTTTTTTTTGCAAAGAAATGCTTCAAACACCTTCCACGATAAACCCATCATCGTCAGCACTTCAGCTTAAACATAACCTTGAACCATTTTAAATTTCAACTTGAGCAAAACTCTCACTGTTGATTCTGATGAGCACTTTGGCTGGTGCCACCTGCTTTCAGCTCTTCAATTCCAGCTCATACAGCTAATTATAGTGAACTGACAGCATCTGTGTTCATTACCTACACACCCCACTGAGCTAAAGACACACTGTGACCCAATACACTGTGGGGATCCTCAGCCGGAGAATATAAGCACCCCCAAACAATGCACTAGAGGAGAAAAATTTAAAGTATAGCAATGAGACGATAATGAACGAGGTTGTGTTTGCAGTGTTGTAGTTGGATTTGGCAACAAGTATGTGAAAGCTGTTTTGAAAGATGTTGTGAGGACGGGGATCTGAGGGAGGGCGATGTTTCGCCTCTACAATGAAAGAGTGAGGACTGTGACTGCAGGTGGTCGCATCCAATATTTACACAGCACATGATATCATGGACATTTGTCTTTATGTGTTTGCTGTGTCTGTTTATGCATATGATAGGATGAAGTATTTCTTAGTCCTTTTTTTCTAGACCCCACAGCATTCAGGATGAAGCTGAAATACACGTAACTAAAACTTAAAGGAGAAATCCGGTGCAAAATGAACCTTTGGTCTAATTACACATTGGTTCCTAGTCGACTGTTTCGAACCACGTCGAACCATGAACGTGATTTGTGATCTGAACTGTATGAAGTTCAGCGAACTTCTGAATTGTATGAACGGCGTTCATGGTTCGACTTGTCAAGACTGTTTTCCAAAGATGGCGCTGCCTACAACGTGCTCTATCTTTATAAAATATCTTCTGGGGATATTTTGAGTCTTGTTAGTGGTATTAACTAGCGATTTCTTTTTACTTATTAAATGCCCCCATATACTAGCGTATACGCTAAACAGTTTTTAGAGATAAAACTATTTACATTAGATTATCATGAAAACAAATCTCAGAGAACGGTCGACTAGGTACCAAATTAGACCAAATTAGGTACTTTAAATTGTCAGATCTTCCTTTTCTCGTTATTAAAAAAATACACCATAATTGAAGGGTGGTTGAGCTCAGGAAATCACAGTAGTCTGTTCTATTCTCCTGAACTGGGTGAGCAATTTTGAAATTGAAGAGAGAAATCTGAGAGGATGTGACTGTGATTATTTTATTTTATTTGTTTTTCCACGTGTGCAAACTTTATTCCAACAGACAACAACTTGCAGCATATTGCAGCCAATAAACAAAAGTTATGAGTACCTACTCCTTATCTCAACCACAACATTATAAATGCTGAATGTTGCTACTTTTGCACTTATCTGGAGATCTTCACCACTGTTTTTATGTGACAGATACTGTATCTTTTTTTTTTTTTTAAACAATAAAGCTGAACAGCTACTCTCAGCTGCACATCTCATGTTCACGTCCACATGAACTCTTCCAGATTCGCCTTTAATGGCCCTTAACACAAAATAAGCAGAAAAAAAGTATACATTGTTTACTTTCAAATGTCTAATGATGCCCCACGGGTCGAACACAATATCAAAGCTGACATACTGTGAGTTTGGTCCAAAGATGTCTGTCTGTGTGTGTGTGGGAGTGAATGTGAAGGACTATCTAACAAGTTTGCAGAAGTAAAATGCCTGAAAATGTATGCATTTATGAAGCATAAGGAGCTAATTTGTAACTGACATCTGACATCCTGTTCTCCTTTTTCTTAATGTTGTTATTCTTGTGAAATTGCATTATTTGTCTTTTAATTATGTCATTTCCGAGGGCTGGGAATGAGCATTTGTTTTTAATTCTGTATCTAAGACTTATGAGAGGTCTTTAGATTAATTCACAATTGAATAAAATAAAATAAAAAAAAGTATGTGCTTGCCCAACACTATCTCACGACCAATTCGTACGAATTCGACGCATGATTAAAAAGTGGGTAATTCGTACTAATTCGTACGACCTCACTCGTACTAATTCGTACGATTTGTCTAAACCCACGTGATGGTTAGGTTTAGGGGCGGGGTAAGGGGTAGGTCATTCGTACGAATTCATACGAATTGGCCAATTCGTAAAATATGTACGATTTAGCAAAATCGTATTAATTCGTACGAGTGAGGTCGTATGAATTGTTACGAATTAGCCACTTTTTAATCATTCGTCGAATTCGTACGACTTGGCTTGCCCAAGGCATATTTAATGACTCCTGTTATTGCAGAAATTACCTGGAGTTGAACCGAATTGCTCTCCCTATGCAAATGACACAAAGGGTGCAGAAAGGGGAATTAAAGTAAATGTAAATCAATATGGCTGTTCAGTGTCTGAAAGAGCTTTCAAGTAAAGAGTTAAGTCAGGCCTGCGTTCCACACTGTCTAAACACTGACTACTGCAGCACCAATGATGGCTTGATTTACATAACCTGTGATGAGCTGAAAAAAAAAAAAGATTTGAGAAGGGATGGATGAGGGAAATTAAGTAATTATCCTTTCAAGTGTAATTTCCAGAGTTGCTGGATATTAACCTATGCAAATTAATTCTCCCCAAAATCCCACTGAGAACCTCAGGTGATTCAGCTAATGGGAACTTGCAGTCCTGGCTTCTGTAACTATATATTTATTACAGACTGTTCTGTCAATCTATCGCTCTAAGTCGTTCTAACTCGTTCTTGTCATTCAGGCATTTGTCTAAAAGTTACAGAGAGTTAATCCACAGTGCTGGTAAAATGAACACTACAATTTCAAAGAATAGACTATAACACGTTTTAACTAGGAAAACTGTCCCTCTCATTTTAAAACAAATTAGATAAGATACAAATTGAGAAAAAAATTGAAATTAAGAAAAAGAAAAGATTGTCAGAAAGGATTGTCTAAAATTTCTGCTCTTCTCTGAATTACAGATTTATCATCAAAAAACAAAATAAGTTATATTCTGTGTACATCTGTGACACAGCCAAGTGTACAACCAAGTGTTCAGGCTTGAAAACAATATTTTGAAATTGCCCCAGACCACGTAGAAAAAAAGAAGAAAAATATATATATATTGTCTAATTTCAATGTTGAAAGGTCACTTTATATATATACACGTATATATATATACAGTATATATATATACAGTATATATATATATATATATATATATATATATATAACACTTATTTTTAAGTTCTGCTGCCAGCCATGTGAACCACCCTGTAAGACCAATTGATGGACTCTTGCCTTTTGTACATTCATGCCCAATTATAAGATTAAGACTAAAAAGTAGTTTTTTTTTATACTGGGATATACAAGAAAGAACGGGCACGCGGAGGTTGGAGAACCGAAGAAGGGGGCCGCACGGGGCGAGGAAAAGGAGGATGTGAAACAGAGGATACAAAGCACAGGATGGAAGAGAGCGAGTGAGAGAACAAGTGATGGAGGACACCCGAGTTGGCTGGGGAGAAGATTGGCTTCGTGAGTGTGAACAACGTCATTCATGAAGAGTTAAGTACCTAATTTCAGATTGTTGTACAAACATTGTGATTGAGTTTATGGAGGCATTGTGACATATTGGAAGATCCACACCTGTTTGCTGTCTCTCTCTTTTGTGAAGTTGAACCTGGAGATAGGAAGGCACATTTGTTTTCTCAAATAACCCCCCTATGCAGTCGCCTTATCGTCGCATTCTCCCCCCTCCGGTTGGAACACGAGCAGTGAGTGGAATGATTCGGGTCGAATGGAGTGAAGGCTTAAACCCACTGTGAGGTATTTGTAGAATTGCAGTGCTTACAAATTGAAGTGTTTACGTGTGAATTGTGGAGGAATTGCTGTATACATAAGTGTGAGGAAGATTTAACCATTCCGTTCACTCCAATTTCCCCTGGGATCATCCAGCCCCGTATGGGGTGGTGAAGTTTATCATCCGGCTGTGTAGATGTGTGCAGATGCCAATCGACTCCCGTCCTGAGAAACAGAAAAAGCCAGTTACTCACATCCTTTGACTACACCGACCTCGAAGACCGCTACCTCCTGAGCTCCCTGGTAGCCCCAAAGCTCCTCTATCACAGGTACTTCAGGTCTATTGCTGTGTCGTAGGAACAGAGAAAGCCAGTCACTTACGCCGCCTTGGATTCAATGACCTCGAAGACCGCTACCTCCTGAGCTCCCTGATAGTTCCAAAGATCCTCCACCTCAGGTATTTCAGCTCTATTGCTGTGTTGCAGGAACAGAGAAGGCTAGTCACTTACGCCACTTTGAATTCGCCGTTACCCTTTAGGGAACCTTCGGAAGGCCGTTACCTACGTGTTCTGAGCCACTTACCTGAAGGACCTTTTGTCTGAGCCCCTGAGTGCCACTGCCATCTGGAAGGAGTAGAGAGAACGCCAGCCTCTCACGCCGTATGGGGTATTCTCTTGGAGATCCTCATAACCCATCTTGAGCTCCACCGTTACCCTAAAGGCCAATTTATACTTCTGCGTTGAGGGTACGCCGTAGTGTACGGCGTTGGCTTCGCACGTAGGCGACGCCGTCGTGAGCATTTATACTTCTGCGTTCAGGTATTGGTTGCTCTGCAGTACTGCTCCGAAACGCTAGTTGGCGGCGGAGGGTTTTAATGTTCCACTGTGTTTAGATTCCTCGCGGCTAGGTTACTACAAGCAATAGCGACTGAAAGAGAGTGGATCATGTTGGAGTTGGAGCTTATTGGGGTGGGAAAACAGTTCATTTTAGTGAAATTACTAAAACTGAAAGGCAGAAATGAGAGAAGATGTCAGAGGAGATGGTACGTGTGGAAATGCGTGAGAAGGTACGTGCGGAAATGCGTAGGAGGAAATGCGATGCTACCAAGCCGACCAATCACCGATCTTGCGGTCCGCGTCGTCGCGACGTGTAGTTACATTTTTGAAGAGGTGCGCGTCAGGCAACGCGGAAGGGTACGCGGTATGGGACGCGTCAGTGCGTATGCTACGCCGTACCTACTGCGCGCACCCTACGCAGAAGTATAAATTGGCCTTAAGGGAAAAAAGGAAGCCCGTTACCTACGTTTTCTGAGCCACTTACCTGCAGGATCTTTTGTCTGAGCCCCTGAGTGCCACTGCCGTCTGGAAGGAGTAGAGAGCGCCAGCCTCTCACACCGTATGGAGTTTTTCTCTTGGAGATCCTCTTACCCGTCTTGAGCTCCACCGTTGCCCTAAGGGAACAGAGGAAGCCCGTTACCCACATTTTCTGAGCCACTTACCTGAAGGCCCTTTTGTCTGAGCCCCACGGCCATCTGGAAGGGTGGAACAAGTTCTAGCCGTCCAGGCTGATGCTCTTTTAAATATGTTTTAAGATTTAATAAAGTCAAATTACTTACTTTACCTTGTGTCTGGCCTTGTGGTGTTTCCTGGTGTTGCTCCTCAGAGTGGTAGTTGGTACAGGTGGTGGTTCCTCCCCACCCCTGGCCTGTGACATATGCTCTTAGTATGAGCCATAGCTTTGTTTTTTTATTTCATTACTGCCCTGCCTAAACCTGGTGATCTAACCTGCCTAAACCTGGTGATCGTCTTCAGCTGGTCCAAAACGCTGCGGCTAGACTTATTTCCAACTCTCGCAAATATGACCACATCACTCCAATTCTTGAGTCTTTACACTGGCTACCTGTCCGGCAGAGAATTGATTTTAAAGTCCTACTATTTATCTTCAAATCGCTACATAGCCTAGCCCCAGCCTATCTCTCCGAACTTATTCATCCCTATACTCCATCCAGAAGCCTAAGATCCCATGACCAGGCTCTGCTGGTAGTCCCTCGTGTCAGACTTAAGCGCAGAGGGGAGCGTGCTTTTGCTGTGGCAGGGCCCCGTCTGTGGAACACCCTGCCCCTAGAGATTCGAACGGCCCCAAACCTGTCTATTTTTAAATCTTTGGTGAAAACCCACCTTTTCTCTTTAGCATACTGATCTCCTTTTAAGTATTTTATTAGGTTATAACTGGGTCCCTGACAAGGCTATTTGTAGCTTTGCTGCCTTTTATGTTTTTTTTTTTGTTTTTTTTAATTCTGTGTTCTGTAAAGCACTTTGGTCTGTCTGAGCGGCTGTTTAAATGTGCTATATAAATAAATGAACTTGAACTTGGTGATCTGATCACAAGTGGTCAGATGAGACGCATTACCATTTGCACCTGGTATTAATATGTCTAAAATGCGTCTCTTGTGACCACTTCTTATTTCAGTGTGGAGCGGGTCTGTCTGTTTTTTTTTTTTTACTGCATACACAGGGGCATGCACAGAAATTTTGAGGGGCAGTGGCCTTAACCAAAAAAAAGGGCACTAAGGGGGTGGTTGCTTGTTTATACAAATGATCCAGTTATTACAAAATATACAATTTTTACAAAATTTTTATTACAAAATATACAGATTTTAATGTAGATGTTTTGATTGAAGAACATCACAATTACACATTGCTGATAATAACAGAAACTATTTGCTGTTTTACATTTATATATTTACCTGTTCCGTTTACAGCAAAACCTTTCTATTTGGTACTATGTCCTGTCCTTCTTCCATGCTAGTCTCACGACAGGGATCTCAGATTTACGCAGGGCACTGGAAGACAGCTGTGATTAGACTGGTAACCCCATTCGTCGTCATCCGACGTAACTCGGAGTGACAACGAAAGGGAACGTCTCAGTTACGTATGTAACCTTCGTTCCCGGAGTAGGGAACGGAGACATTATGTCTGCCTGCCACTTCCGCTGTACCGCGACGATCACCTGAGCTCAGCCATGGTCCTCAGCGAAAAAATATCAAAGCTTATTATTAGCAAAGCTGCATTTTGCCAACTTCCTCCTTTTATACCCACGAGGTGGGGCGGAGTTGCGCCATGCAAATTTTGCAGACCCTTGGCTTGTTTTGTAATACTCGAAGCTGATAGGCTTTCTTAATCGAAACCCCATTCATCGTCATCAAACGTAACGTCTCTTTTCCCTACTCAGGGAATGAGGGTTACTTATATAACCGAGACGTTTCTTTTATTGTACAGTTATTTTCTTGTAGTTTAGTTAGATGCATTGTCCCCTTTTTAAACTATTTTCATTGGTGGAGAAAAAAAAAGACTTAACTTGCACTCAAATCTCAGCTGTCATATGATATTGCCTATTTACAGGAGTTTACACAACTTGCAAGTTTTAGTTTTAGTTTTAGTTAAATGACTCCGGATGTGGATTTAGTGATTTTGGGACACATTTGCATCTGTATTTAGCACTGACCCTGCGTGATAAATAAGACCTACTACCTCAATAACCAATTGTTCACTCTTAAGACTATTTCTGTCACTCTAATCACACAAACCCTGCATAGAGATTAATTGCCCCTCAATTTGTATCAAACTCATGTCACTTTTATATTCATTACGAAACCACATGCGAACCTCACACATGTCAGGTCAAGTCAAGTCACCTTCCTTTATACAGCACTTTTTACAATACAGATGGTTTCAAAGCACCTTTACAGTGATAATATGACATGAATGCAACAAAGATTGTTTTGGCTGTACAGCAGCTCTAGAAGAAAGTCATTGTCTAGCTTAAGTACGTTTTTAATTGATTCATTCATATCATGTCTAATATAATTATTTAAATATGCCCCTCATGCATGCTACATCATAAGCAAAAAATCTTGTCAGCCCCTTTATTTCTAATGGGACAAAACTGAGGCTGTTAAGGCAGCATGCGAATGGGAAGACGGAATAAATAATTGATGTTGTGGCGCCTTGGTATTCCACCGAGCACTTCAGGGGCGAGCCACCTCCCACACGAACGGGGAGGCTGTCAGGAGTAATTGGAGGAATCGCGACAGCGTCGAGTTAAGTGTTCGCCAGTCCTGAGGTGAAGAATGTCACACTGCGTGCTGCAGAACTCAAAAGCACAGATTTTTTTTCCATTCCTCTCCCTCTTCTTCATTTTCTCTTGTGCACTTTTCCTTATTGTTCCATTTTCCCCCCAAGCATAAATCCCTTTCAAAGCTGGTTTTGCCTAATGCTACAATTTGGCTGATGCAGAATTCAAGTTCATGGCCATCAGGGGAATTCATAGGTAAGTCAATCACCAAATTTTGTGCTTTGCATTACAAAACGTCTCTTCTCATGAAAAGGTCGTGGCAGACTTCTCCTTACTAGGAGAATGCATCTCTCTTAGTGATTTGGAAGTGTTTTGATCTTTCCAGTGTTCTTACGCAGCTTTTTATTGTTTCATGTGCTTGCGGCTGTTCCTGCAGATTGACTGAAAATAACCACGACACGTTTTGACAATATTTATCTGAGGAAAAGACCTCAATGACCTGAAATCTCTCTCATATTCACATCACAATCTCCAAGAGTCCTCACTGTGAGCTCAACTCATCCAACCCCACATCCACCATCCCATATACTTCAGAGAAAGTGACGTTTTCAGAGGCCTCTGGTGGTTGTCAGGTCTGGTCGGGCCACTGATCAGACAGCTCAGCACTCACCCAAGACATTTCTCCAGAATGGAGGCCTTGTGGCCAGGTTTGAGAAGAAAGGAAGAGGTGGCAGCTCGGAGACCATGGCTCAACATGTCAGCAAGAGAAAAACAGGGCCTCTGACAGGGTGAGGCAGAAGTCTATATTTTGTTGTCTGAACTACCCTCGAACCATTTTAAAAGAAAGCACAAAGCTGGTCATAGCATTACAGGCCATCTTCCACAAAGACTCTTTCAAAGCTGGCATCAGCTTTTGCAGAGCGGTTTGACTGCTCTGGGGCCGAGTTCATCGGTTCGGGTCAGCTTCAGCGGAGCATGAGAGACAGAATGGCAGATGTAATCAGATCGAGGGTCACAGACTGCTGAAATGAGCAGCTACCCATCCAATAGCTGAGGGAGCATCCTCTGCAATCCATCCCTCTCAGATGTCCTATGCTCAGGGTTCAAATACTTTACTACAATTCGTTTCTACTGTACATGTGAGTGGATTGTTTGCTAGAATTCTCTTTATTGTGGTATAACATTTTCTATTTCACAAACTATTTCTATTTCACATAAATGCTATGCATTTAAACTTTCTATTCATCACAGAATACAAAAAAAAGAAAAGGAAAAAAAAGAAAGAAAAAAGGTTTTCAACATCTGTGCTCAAGGAACATTTCTTATTGTCAGCATATTGTAATTATTTCTGAATGAACATGTGACACTGAAGACTGGAATATAATCCTGATAATTCAGTTTTGCCATCACAAGAACAAATTACGTTTGAAATATATTGTAAAAATATACTTTATACTACAGGGCTGTTGAATGCTTGATTCTGATTGGTTGAGAACGTTCTAAAGGTGTGCCATTATTTTCAGGGAAACGCACAGCTAAAGTAGTTTGAGGCAGGTTTGACTGCATTACAGTTCCATATCACTGCACGTAGTAATAACGAAAAATAGAATACAATTCATAACAAGAAAAAAACATGCAACCCCATGC